ACCGATGACCATGTACTTGCGATATGGTCTGCGACATTCATTGAAGCTGGTGAGAGAATTGGCAAGACCTTTCGCATCGCCGATTTAGCCAAAAAATATATGGACGAGGCAGGATTCCAAAATGTTGTGGAAAACCGATTCAAACTTCCAGTGGGAGGTTGGGGGAAAGATAAACAGATAAAACGGCTCGGCCAGTGGAATCTCCTACACTGTGAGGAGGGTATCGAAGGCTGGGCGATGGCCTTGTTAACGAGAGTTATGCAGGTAAATTGGGTTACCCATCCCCTCCCATCCGCATCTTCTTTGGAATATCTAAATTTGACTTTTTATCCTCCTTCTAGTGGTCATTTGAAGACGTTCAAATGTTTCTGGTTAAAATGCGGGCCGGGCTTCGTGACCCAAAGACCCATGCATACTTCAATGTGTAAGTTCCCGCCCGCCTTCCAATTTTTTTTCTCCATTTCAATGCCCACGCACGATTTGATGGGGAAAGTTGCACCAGAACGAATTAAACAGCTCACATTTCCACAGCGTCAGCGTCTATGGCCAAAAACCGTATTCCGCACGGTCAGCCACTTGATGATCTTGCATCACAAGGGTCAACTTAACTTTCTTATTATCTTTTTCCTACTTGGGCGGTCTTTTCATGGGGGCACACCGACCGTCGATCGGTTTTCGTATTTCACCTACATGTTCCACTAGCGAAAGGTTCATATTTATTTTACTTTCCCACGGAGCATATCTGGATTCATCTTACATACTTTGGTAAAGTGGCTTTAAAGTTCGACACGGCCACTTGCATGTCTAATTTGTTTATCAATATAATAGTAGTTACTTTGTCCATGTTACTCCGTACATACCTATCATCACAAGTCCTTGAGGACTCTTATTTCGTTATCGGATTAGATGGAGATACCCCGCTCCCCTTAAGCTTGTTTTTAGACTTATCCTTACAGATACCCACAAAGTTGACCAGACGCTCCTTTCTCTTGGGCAGTACGGACCTCAGAATTGGTCAATATGCTGGTTTTTCGGCAGCATTCATTGAGAAGGTAGGTATAGTTGACATGCTGCCTCGTAACTCGAGGTCAATGGGTTCGCGCTCAATAGAGCCTTCCATAGTGCGACATATGCACATTTTCCACAAGATACCTAGGTACAGATACTTCCCAACGCACCAGGGAGATCAATGCGTCCTTCCTCAGAAGCCTGGTGTGACGCGAGATGAACAGCCCGAGACTCTTCGTCCAATGTCGCTGCATATTTGAGTTTCGAGAGGTATCTCTTTGCTTAAACTCGTTCACTAACTCCAGGAACCAGCAACTGTCGTATAAGACGGTGTCATACCCGTAGAATTCCTTTGTAATAAGAGTCGCAGCCATGATCCACGCTTACGCCGGATTCAGGAGCTTAACAGCTGCTTATATAGCTGATTCCGAGTGCCGCAGAGCGTGACACTTGCTTGCAAATTTGTATTTTGTACCTAGGTAACTGATGAGATGTTGAAACCCCTTGGCCATCGCAAACAGTTCCATGTTCTCTGTTTCTCCCCTCTTTATTTGACAGAGTGGTAGAACATCTCTCCCCCGATTCACTCTGGCAAATACCTTGTCTAGTGCCTGAGTAAGATGCCATCTGATAGAAACCGTTTGCCCACGATCTGATGCTAGCGGGTGTATAGGTCAATGAAGAGTCTGATAGCATCATTTTGTGCAAGTAGCATTGTCAACTGATGTGAAAATAAAATGGCCACAAAAACAGGACAGGTCTGTAACGAGCTATAAAAGAGTCGCCATTTTCTCCGTTTGCAGGCTATTCTGGAGCTTCGTCTTTGTCGTGGCCGTCTTTTTTATAGACCGAAAAGTCTTTCGTATCAGCACAAAAACCCTAAAATAAGTAGGTATATACTTGCTTACCTAACCAGAGATCTCCAATTTAATCTGCAGAAATGCAAAAATACGAAAAGAAGCCAAAAAGTCTCCAAGGGGGGAGCGCAAGAATCACCAGCCGCCAGCCCAGGTCCTAATCAACACTCGAAGGGGGCCTTGGAAGATGGCTTACCAGCAAATGAGGAAACGCGGGGAATCAACGTTTGGCGGTGACTTGTCCGGTGGCAGCTTGTGTTAAGCCATGACATTTTTGCCCAGGCTTATTGGCTCTCAGGGGCTGGAGATATCTCAACTTTCAAACGCTAACTAACGAGTTCCACATCGTGAAAGGTTTGTATTTGCAGTCTCGTATGGTCTCTAGTCTATTTGTATTTAATATGTCCCAGTGGCTTTAAGGTTCGACCGCCTTTGACTTGTGACGGGGTGGTTGGTTGGTTGTTTTGATATACTACCTATAAATTGCGGGCCAGGTTGGCCGGCTGTTCTCCTGGTGTTTTTTTCTTTTCTATTTTATAAATGCTGCATGCCTTGAAATGTTTATGTCTGTCCGGTAATGACTGATCCCTTTTTTGATCGGAGTCAGATAGAGCCCATACTCCTTGGACACCATGGCTGGCTTCACCGGTTATCTTCTTGATCCTTCATCTCTCACCATCCTTGCCGCAGCCGGGGGCTTAGGCGTCCTCGTCTGGTATACAGTTGTTGTTGTATATCGAATCGTCTTCCATCCGCTGGCACATATCCCTGGCCCATTCCTTGCCAAAGCAACCAATCTATATTCCTTTTATTTCAATGGCATACTGGACGGAAAGTTTTATCTGCAGGTTGAGAAGTTGCATGAGATATACGGTGTGGTCCTCCCCCTGTTTTTTTAGTCCTGATATATATATACATTATAGACAATAGCATCATGCTTACGGTGTTATCTGGGTAGGCCCTGTAGTTCGAATAACGCCTGATGAGATTCATCTCAGCAACCCAGAGCACTACGACGAAATCTACCATGTTGGCACCAGCTACAACAAGAGTGCTGCGTTCTATGATGCATTCGGTGTGGACAAGGCGACCTTCACGACAGCTGATAACCACGTCCACCGAGTGAAGCGGGCGGCATTCAACCCCTTCTTCTCTCGAAAACGTGTCCTCGAGCTCGAAGACATTGTTCAGTCCAAGGCCAAAACTCTGGTGAATCGTATATCTACTGCTCTCGACACTTGCGGGGGTATAGATCTCCATCATGGATTTCGAGCAATCTCCGTCGACGTCATCAGCGACTACGCCTTTGACAATTGTTATAATTTCCTTGAAAAGGACGACTTTGATGCGCCGTTCTTCGATATGATTCGAGGCTTTGGCCCCATGTTTTGGTTCTTTCAGCAGGTCCCGTTTATGCGTCCCATCTTGCTGGGAATACCGCTGTGGATGGCGAAATTGACCAGTCCCGCCTTGACGCGCATGTTGAAGTACCATCAGGTATCTCTCCCAGATCAACTACATCTATACACGGCATAACCCTTGTCTTAATTTTGCTAAATAATTCTTTGTCTCTCTAGAGCAGTCGAGAGCAAGTGACCAGGGTCAAAAGGCAGGTGGAGGCGAACGAGAAGCCTGAACGACCAACTATTTTCCATCAATTCTTGAACCCGGAGTTCATGAAGGGCCATATTCCAACTGTCGAGCAGTTGAAGGATGAAGCATACATCGTCGTTGCGGCCGCCGCCGATACGACAGGGAATGCCATGACGGTGGCGCTATATCATACAGTTTCGTCACCAAAGATATACGCAACGGTGACAGCTGAATTGCGCGATGCGTTCCCAGACCCAGACGAAGACATCAACCTTGTCACTCTTGAGAGGCTGCCCTATTTTGTTCGTCATACCCTTGCTCTCTCATCTAGCTTTGTGTGCACCCATACTGATATCAAGCTCTGTGGTATAGACTGGTATCATAAAAGAAGCCTTGAGGTGAGTCCTATCAAGAAACGTGCCATCAAGCTCGTAATTTCGATGCAGACTGACAGGGTATACAGGTTATCATACGGTGTCGTCGGGCGACTTCCCAGGGTTGTCCCTGAGCCCGGCGCCCAGTTTGACGGATATGAAGTTCCAGCCGGTGTAAGTATCTCCGTTACCCCCTGTCCCTTGAGATCACAAAAGGGCGTCCAATAGTCTATATTATGATACCAACCTCATACCGCAGTCGATTGTCGGCATGAGTTCGTGGACCATGCATCGAAATCAAGAAATCTTCCCTGACCCCGACAAATTCGACCCGTCACGCTGGCTAGATCCGGCCGCTAGCACCGAGCTGGATAGATTTCTCGTGGCATTTAGCAAAGGATCCCGCGCCTGCGTTGGCATGCAGTAAGTTCACACCACCCAAAACCCAGCACATTTCTCTTCATTTGGTCCCGCCTGCACACCAACTCGAATCCATCCCCGACCAATCAAGGCCGTCTTGCACGGAAGTATACGCAGGGATATGTTGCTAATCTTTTGTTTTTTCCCCTTTGCTTTCGAATCCAGACTTGCGAGCTGTGAATTATATGTTACGCTCGGCAGAGTTTTGCGCAGCTTTCCTGACTTGACTATCAAACCGAAGACGCGAGAGGAGCTGTTGTATATGGACTATTTCTCTTCGTATCATCCGGAGAAGTACAACAAGTTCTATTTCGAACGGCCCGGCAGCAGCAAGGCAGAGTAACGGACTCTCTGCAACCACTTTCCTTCACGATATGATTGATGTTGACTTTGTTTGCCATTTCACACTTTCGATGATTACGAGGAACCCCCCGCATCTCGGACACTTCAGTCGTTCTTTGCGAGCCGTGTACATGTATATATGGAGTATACCAAGTTTGCCATGGAGTCTAGTATCCCATCGGTCTTCGCGTATCCGTGTAACAACATTCACTTACATATAGCAAAACATTTATCAGTGACTATAGTCGTAGAGTCGTAACCGTAGACATATCCCATGTACTCTGCTTCTGATCGCACAAGTCTTAACAGCTTGTTCTTGAGATCTCCATCTCCAACCCGCCTGCAGCCTTACACGATGCAAGCAGCCGCTCGTCACGAAGCGGCCGTGGCAATTGCAGCATCCATCGGTGTCGTAGTCTAATGGTTATGATAACTCGTTGTGGTAAAAACAACTCCGAGTTGGTCCCAGTTCGATTCCGGGCGATGCCACAACTGCCTTCAGCTTCCAGCCAGCTCTCCTGGCTTCTTCTTTTTTGTTTCGCCGCTTAACAGTTCTATATCGCCCTGTGTGGAAATGTGTTTGGGGGAAGAAGGGGTTTTTCTAAGTTTTGTGGCTTTCATGGCTTGCAGAAGCTTTTCTTCTGTGTGCTCTTCGGGCTCGATGAGAGAGCGATGGCTCGCAGAAGGACTCATACAGTTTGTGTCATTCCTCTTGCTCGGTAAAGGTAAGCCGTTGTGCTGGGAGAATCGTCTGCGTGAAAGAGATGGGCATATATCAGGTCTATATCAGATCTAAATGTATACGGAGTACTGCTTGTACCTACGGGGAAGTTATTGGTATTTAACCGATTGGGTACCACAGATGTAATGGCGGATAAGTGCATGTATCATGTTGCAGATCGGTTTCTCAGTATATATGCAGATGTACGCGCGAGAGTATTTCATTAATTATCTATAGACATATCCTTTCCTCGGCTGTCCTACACAACTGGACATACATACACCATAATCCGATAACTCATATTCCAAAAGAGATTGCCCAAGCCCTGCTCTAGGAGGTAGGGCAATTAGGCACACCCTCCTGCCAGTACTTGAGAGCATACTCTCGCAGGAAGCTAGATTCTCCAAAGTTCTTGTAGGGCTTGATGTCGCTGGCAGAGTACTTTCCACCAAGCTTGTTGAGGGTAGGGACGACGAATTTTGCGCCGATGAAGTCGACAAAGGCGACGTCGACGACTTCGGGCTTAGAGCCGTCCATGGGGAAGGACGCGTTGGCCTGGATATCAATTGGGACTTTGTGGTAGGGGATCTTGGAGTGAGGAGTGTCGTCGCCGTCGAGGCCAAAGTCATCGGAGGTGATGTAACCAGGGTGCAGCATCGAGTCATCAAGAGTACGGCGGGTGAAGGGCTTGTATCCCTGTGGAGCTTCACGGCGTTTGATTTCCATGAATTCTGGCGAAGGGTCGGCGCAGACATCAGCACCGGTTATCTGCTGGGTAGGCATGGACGTGTACTGCTCCGCGCGCTTCTGGTAAGGGCCCTTGTTTAGAGCGTCTAGCAGCTCGGCGGCGATGGCATAGGGGACATCAGGGATGTATTGGAACTGGTTCCTGAATGGGTAGACGATGTATTCGTCGTCCTTGGTGAAGGAGCCCTTGACAAGGTCGAATCGTACACCACCAGTGTTCAAGAGGAGAAGTCGTGGCTTATCGGCGCGGTCTTCCTTGACCACGACCTTGGCCAGCATGTCGATGACAAGCTGGTAAATGTTCTTCTTGTCTTCGAATGGAACACAGTACTGGCAGTAGGTCTCGGGCACGCATCCCAGAACGGTAGACGTGCCAAGCTCTTTACGGGCATCGGTGATATTCTGGGTGACGCGCTCTCCCTGTGGGGTATCGAGACGCTCATCCTGCGAGTTGGTGGCGTGGTAGGCAAAAGTCAAGCGGTTCCAGTCAAGGTAACGGCGAGCATAGCGGAGGTTAGATCGCTTATGGTGGCTTTGAGAGTTGGATGACTCGGTGGACGTAGCATTGCCCTTGATCGCGCGTCTGGTTGGGTTGGGAACACCCCTTGGCTTACGGCTGCCTCTGTAAGTATGAGATTTGATTCCGGTCATAGAAAGCCATCCGAGAGTCTCGCAGTATCGTCCGGACCCGAGAGCAGTGGAGGTCTCATCGTAGACGACGAAATCTCTGATGTGGTTGTGGCCACCAAACGCCTGGACTGGGACACCTGGGCGCAGTTCCTGGATCTTCTCGCGCAAGATACGGAGGGTTGGGAACTTGTCATCGGTGCGGGCGGGAGTGTGGCCGAAGATGACGAACAAGTCGACTGGCTTGTGTGTCTTGACGGTATCAATGAACCAGGACTCCTTGACAAGGTCTTCTGCGTTGGTGATCTTGGAGACGTTGGAGTTTCCGGTAAATTCGAAGAGGACGCCAAAGGCCATCA